GTTGCATATATATATATATATTCTCAATAATAATTAGATGATTATAAATTTTCTTTATGATTCCAAATTTTCTGATCCCACGAGTAAAACTTGTAAATTGATGGACCGAGTACCGACCACCAAGACCTAGAACCATTCGGTTCATTATTCAACCGTCAAATACCCAAGTCCAAAAAGAAATTCAATGGCGAATATTTCCGCGTGAAACCCCGCGTTCTTTCTCCTCGTTCAAATATCCATTCCGTCAAGCAGCAAAGCTCAATTCAAACATCCACAACCAAATCAACAACACAAAATCCTTCTCTCATTTACTCCCTCCCATGGCCCTAAGATCCTTCAAGCTCTCCTCAAAACTCCCTTTCCGCCGACGACCCATCCACTCCATCGCCGGCGATTCCCCCGCCGAGCTCTCCATCCCTTCCCACTTTCTCTGCCCCATCTCCATCGACTTAATGAAAGACCCTGTCATTCTACCCTCCGGCATCACATTCGACCGCTCCAGCATCGAAACATGGCTGCAAGCCGGCAACTTCACCTGCCCTGTAACCAAAAATCCCCTTTTTGCCGCCGATCTAATCCCCAACCACACCCTCCGCCGCCTGATCCAAGCCTGGTGTGTGGCCAACCGCTCCCTCGGCATCGAGCGCATCCCCACCCCGAAGATTCCAATAACCTCCCTGCAAGTCTCCGAATTACTTTCAGAGATCTCCGACGCTCATTGTAGATTCAACGGCGACCAATGCGCCGAATTGGTGGCCAAGCTGAAGATGTGGGCTTCCGAAAGTGATCGAAACCGGCGGTGCATTACGACGAACGGCGCCGCGAGGGTGGTTTCGGGAGTTTTTGAAGACTTCCCCTCAGAGCAGGTGTTGTCAGCACTCGCCGGAATGCTGCCATTTGATAAAGAAGCTAGAAGGAAGCTGGTTTCTGATAAATCTCTTCGCTCTATTGCATCGGTCATGAGGAATGGAACTCTGTCAGGACGGCTTAATGCAGTTTTGGTTGTAAAAGAGATGGTTTCAACAAACAATGAAGACTGTGGCATGATTGCAAGAAATGCTGAGTTGATTGAGGGTATTGTGAAGCTTATCAAGGAGCCGATATCGCCGCAGGCTACAAAGGCGTCGCTTGTCGCTGCCTACCAATTAGCTTCCGCTGACAAGAGGACTGCATCGAGGTTCGCCGAGATGGGTCTAGTTTCGGTGATTTTAGAAATGATTGTTGATTCGGAGAGGAGTTTCTGTGAGAAAGGTCTGGCTTTGCTGGACACAATTCTGAGCGCAGAGGCAGGGAGGAAGATGGCGGCCGGCAATGGCCTCACTATGCCGGTGCTGGTGAAGAAGATGCTAAGGGTGTCGAATGTGGCCACCGAACTGGCTGTTTCAGCGGCATGGAAGCTCTGCAAGAGGAAAGGAAATGGTGGAAAGGGTGACGAGAAATGGTTGAAAGAAGCAGGGGAAGTTGGAGCTTTTCAGAAGCTGTTACTGTTGTTGGCATGGAAGCTCTGCAGGAGGAAAGGAAATGGGGGAAAGGGTGAGGAGAATTGGTTGAAAGAAGCAGGAGAAGTTGGAGCTTTTCAGAAGCTGTTACTGTTGTTGCAGGTGGGCTGCAGTGACAGCACAAAAGAGAAAGCTAGCGAGCTTTTAAAGATGTTGAATGGCTTCAGGGGAAGAATGGAATGTATTGAAAGTGTGGATTTTAAAGGGATTAAGAGGTCCTTTTGATTCTTTTGTTTTTGTGGAGTGTACATTACACAGATTCAGAATACTTTTTTATATACAAAAATGAGAATTCTTTTTAAAAAAAGAGCCTTTTGGGTTTCAATTTGTTTATTTTTATGAGTCTTATGAATCTAATGAAAGTTTCTTTAGTTGAAAAAAACATTCAAGTGCAAATTAGTATTCTAAATAGCTAACTCTTTCTAAGACCTTGATACATTTTGGCTAATTTTATCACATAATGTTTGTAATATTCAGCATAAAAGTTAATGCTTAGCTCTATTTTTGTAGCTGTGGAGACATTATTTACAATTTGTGTATAAACTTTCTTTTTTCAAGTTCAGATCTTGTTGGGATGCTTTTCGCTAGTTCACCTCGAAACATTGAATAGAACAATTGATTGATTACTGCGCAAGTTATTATAATTAACACCCAAACTTTGCGTCAGAATTGAGTTCTATGATGCAACACACAACCTAAATAAATCTATATGCTATTTAGAAGATCACAGGCAAAAGTCTTGAATCAAGTTTAATGATTGTCATCAACATGATCATCATCTTTCACAAAATCCAGACACTCGGTTGTGCACTATTTTGATAAAAGGAAAAATTCAAATTAAGATAACTTTACTTGGCTGGTTCTACTTGATTTTTTAAGTATTGGTTTAGTTATTGGTAATAAGTTTGACCCTTTAATTTTTTTTTATTGGTTTAATTTTTTATTGTTGAACTTAAATTGAATTGTATTATTTTATTCATATAATTTAATTTAATCAATAAATCCCAGAACCTATAAATAAAAAAGTGATATAGAAATTATTAATAAAATAATTTAAAACGAGGTAATTCTAGAATTGAAGTATGTAAATCTTAACATCCCAATCCAACTCATCGAAACCTATAAATCACATACAAAGTTGACTCATCATAAATATCCTTACTTTGCAAATTCATAAAACTGAAACAAAAAAGAGTTAGCAGATAGAGAAGATAACAATAGTCGGATTCGAGCATGATCATCTCTCCATTTGATGAAATTCAAATATGTTAGAATATGTCCTCTTCCTCTACCTCCCATTTTTTTTTTCTTTCTACAAGAAAAGTAGTTTCCAAATTTTCATGGTTTGGACCCTCATTCTAATATATATCAAAATTGCAATCAATAGTGTCAAATTATATCTTATTTGGCTTGTTCAACCTACATCATATTAGTTTAGAGTTATGTTTATGTTTTTTACTCTTTTAGCTAAACATATATATATATATATACATATATATATATATATATACATATATATATATATACATGTACATCTATATGTACATGTACATGTGTACATGTACATCTATATGTACATGTACATGTGTACATGTACATCTATATGTACATGTACATGTGTACATGTACATCTATATGTACATGTACATGTGTACATGTACATCTATATGTACATGTACATGTGTACATGTACATCTATATGTACATGTACATGTGTACATGTACATCTATATGTACATGTATGTACATGTGTACATGTACATGTGTACATGTACATGTGTACATGTACATGTGTACATGTACATGTGTACATGTACATGTGTACATGTACATGTGTACATGTACATGTGTACATGTACATGTGTACATGTACATGTGTACATGTACATCTATATGTACATGTACATGTACATATGTATATGTATATATGTACATATATATATGTACATATATATATATGTATACAGCACCAGAGCTGCCCCAAAATCAAACAATGGATTCTACGGTTCACTGGTTTTACTGCCGCCCAATCCCCCTTGAAATACTTAGGAGTCCCTCTCATTAAAGGCAGAGCTAAACAATTCCAGTTTGAGGAAGTGCTGGGAAAAATTTATTTTCAACTCTCCTGTTGGACTCATTCATATTCGTCTAATGGTGGCTGAATCTCCTTGCTGAATTATATCCTCACTACCTTCCCTTCCTATATTCTACAATTATTTGGCATGAAAAAGAACACCCAGATTCAGTTGGAAAGATGCTTCAACAAGTTTCTTTGGTTTAGCCAAAGACAACAACAACTCCATTGAGCTAGCTGGCAAAAACTGGCCAAGCCCACCATGGTTGGGGGGATTGGTCTTATGGGACTCCAACATCTCCAGCAAGTTAATTTGCGTAAATTGTGGATAAATTTTAGACAACAAAATGCTCTTTGGACTCAGTTTATGAAGGGAAAATACTGTAGGGATTCTCATGCCAACCCGGCTGTCAGAAAACTAGGTTATTCCAAACTTTGGGTTAACCTTCTAAAAGTTAGACAAGAAGCTGAAAGTCTCTTCCTATGGGACCTGGGTAATGGTAAAGTGCACATCTGGGTTGATAACTGGAGTCTTGTTGGCCTCTTTCATCCTAGGACTTCTTATCTCAAGCTATAACTTAAAGTTTATGATTGTTGGCAAAGGGACCACTGGTCTGAAACTCTCCTGCACTCCCTACTTCATAGAACTTCCGCTGAGAATTTCTCAAAGTTTAGTTTGATATAACTCAACCTGATAATATTGTGTGGATTACCATCAAAACTCAGAGCCTAACCAAAGCTATTTATTCAAAAATTTACCATTGGTAGATTGTCCCCTGAGGGGACATCATCTGGAACAAGTTCTTACTCCTTCTATGACTTTCCTTTGCTGGAGAATATTTCACAAGCTGCTGCCCACTGATGATCTCCTCAAATTGAAGGGATTGAGGGGCCCCTCCAGGTGTTGTCTATGTTTAAAAGCTAAGGAATCCACCAAACTTTTTTTTTTTAATGTAAATTTTCTCAAAGGGTTTGGATGGATTTTTTAAAGAACATACTGTTGGACACCATCAACTTGGACTAGCTTCACCTTACTTCTTGTTGGGTCAGTTGACACAAATTCAAACTGAACTCAATCCCCTTCATTATGGCTTGGTTCATATAGATGGCCAAAAATCAGACAAAATTTGAAGAGAAGCCCCTATCCACAATACAAGTTTCTAGAAATTGTATCTCTTTCCTCACCAAGTTGATAAAATAAAAAAGGTTCCCCAACATTTGTAACAACTCCTTCCCTGAATGCACCCCTACTATCACAATCTTTAAAGTTATTTTGGAAGAGCCCCTCCTCCCCTCTCATTAAGGTAAACACCGATGGGATCTTTTCTGTAATGCGAGCTGGAGTTAGTGGTATTTTCAGAAACCATCTGGGACAGTGCCAGTTTTTCTTTCATGCCCCAACCATTGCACCCGATGCACTGGAAACTGAAGTTATTGTTGTCAATTTAGCTACTATGAACAATTGGGGCTCTCTACAGGTGGAAATGGACTCCTCTTCGTTTCTCCAATTCTTATCTTGTGCTAACCCCCCTGGCACATTTCACAATGGGTCATAAAGATTCATCAGCTCAGAACTCTTCATAAATTTCATCTCTCCTTCATCTACATAGAGGGTAACAGACCTGCAAATGTTGGAGCAGGTTCTGGTGCTGAACAACAATAATGATAGATTGAATGAGATATCAACAATTGAAGTGGTGCCTTTAGTGGCTAATGCTTGTTGAAGACATATAATGTTCTATTTAAGTATCAATGTATGCCTTGCTAGAGCTATCCCTCACTCTCCCCTTCTTTCACTACACTTGAAAATCCTTTTATTTCTTGCATGAAATACCAATCACTTTATTCTCCTACACACTAGTTTAAATATATTTAAAATAAGAAAAGCATAACAACTTGCATTGCTTTTTTGTGTTGACAACATGCCTTTGAAGTTGCACTAATATACCAATTTGAAGAATTCCATAGAATAGTAGAAAATTCATAAATCACGATTGGAAACATGTAAAAAAAATAAGAATAAATTTAAAACCTACAAAGAAAATATTGAAAAACTACGCAATTAAACATATAAGTAATAATTTTGAATCAAAGTCAATCTATACCACACCACCTATTGCCACAAACTTAAATTTAACTTATTAAAACTAACCTAGGAATAAAAGAATGATTGTACAATGATGCTAAAAAAGAACTATAACTCGCATTATGATTTGATGACCCATTTAGTAAAATGAAAAAAAAAACTACCTAAATTTTGATGGTGTCGATGACCACATTGAATACGTAGACTTAGTGGCTCCAATTAACATTTTATTTAAAAATTTTAATATAAAAAATTATCAAATAAATAATTTTATAAAATAAAATTATTTGTCCATCCATAAATATTATTAAGAAAATATTCTTTAAAAAATGATTTTTCTTACTTGCATAGATATGATGAAAGTACATATGAATAAATATTGCACTAAATATCATGATAATAAATTACATGATATCAACTCTAAAATTTAAGACATGACAATAATAAAATTACAACAAATATAAAAAACCAAGACCTAAATGACAAAGAAAGTTCTATTAATAATGACTAGCACACTCAATCAAATGTGTAACTAATATTAAAGAAGAACATTAGAATAAAGTTGAACTTATGGCTATTAAATTTTCAAGGAGGATTCTATTATGCTTTCCAATTTAAGAAATAATAAAAATTGTTTCTTAATTATAAGCCCACTAGTATTTCTTCTTCTTTATCAAATCATATGTCGACCACTATACTTAATAGCTACATCCTTTACTTATGCAACTACATCCCATTCATTGATTTCTATTGATCAATCATCATGAGCTTGATAATTTAAAGGACGGATTCAATGATACTCCATTAATTGATAAATTTAACTCTATTGATGATACATATTTTAAAATTATGAGATGTTGAATAGCTACCTACCAAACATGAGCTAAAGGATTAGAGATAATGAAATATTTTTCCCCAATATGTTACTTGAAATAAGAAAATATGTAAATTAGTTATTATTGATGATTTTTTTTTAAATGTCATTTTAACTCCACAAACCAGTAGAAACTAATCTCAAACATGAGAAAAATTCATACAAAATATAAGCAAAGAGATGTGTTCACTTGGTCAGTGACAACCATTTTAGTGTCATGAGTGAA